CAGCGGCGCCACCGCCTCCCGCCCCGGTCCCCGCTGCCGCACCGCCGCCGCCTCCCGTACATCATCCTCCGCCTCCCGGTCTTGTAGACAGCCATAGTCGTCCTCATTATGACGAGGTAACAAGTCTCTCTCTCTCTCTGTATTTTGCGGTCGCAGTTCACAAGGTAATGATTGTACTTCAGAATTGAATGATAAGCTTAGGACCCTTCTGGATGGAGAATCTTATAAACCCTGGAATTTCACAAAATAGAGAGTTCATTTCACATAACTGGGTGTTATGATGTGCAAGACTTTCGGAATTCTTCGTTTGGATGACATTATGAACATATGTGCTGTCACATGAGCACTTTCTGTTTCGTTTATGGTGTTAATCTATATATACATATCCACCCATATTGTTTATAGTTGTGTGTGTAATTAGGCTCACGTCACTAGTACACAATGTCGAAGAAAAAACCCTCCTTTTTAATCCTTTGAAATAAATTACGTAGACAGAATTTTGGAGTCAAAAGACTGTGAATTGCTGTGTATATATGTATGTAAAGGCATAGACATGCTTGCATATGTCGAGGCATGTGATGTCCTTGTATCTGCATCTTGATTTACATTTGTGCTGATACTGGACGTGGAAACATAATATGTTATGACGATGTGCATCTGTTGTCCAGCTTAGGACAATCTTCATCGCAGGGCTTCCGGATGACGTAAAAGAGAGAGAGCTTCAGAATCTTTTGAGGTGGTTACCGGGTTACGAGGCTTCTCAGGTGAACTTCAAGGGAGAAAAGCCCATGGGGTTCGCTCTGTTTTCAACAGCACAGTTCGCTGTTGCGGCCAAGGATACACTTCAGGTCTGTCTGCTTCTGATTATTGGTGACTTGGTTCCTTATTTTCTGATTTCATGACATAGAATTGGCATTTCTTTTTATGTAGGATCTGGTGTTTGATGCGGATTCTAAGTCTGTATTACATACCGAAATGGCCAAGAAAAATCTATTTGTTAAGAGAGGTTGGTAGTCTGTGACTCTGTTTATGGGATAATCTATTGTAGTATTTTTTCTTAACCTCTATTGCATCTTCATTAAAAGCAGCCATGCTTTAGACATGTTTGATAGAGGTTTTGCGTACTTATATGAAATTCACAGCATTGCTTTTTTTACTCTTTGCTACTGATATAGTCACAAATAGCAGCCTGTTGAGTCTGTTTACTTTCTTTTTTTATGTAGGAATAGTAGCGGATGCAAATGCTTATGATCAGAGTAAGCGCTTACGAACTGTTGGTGACTACACACACACTGGTTATAGTCCGTCTCCCTACCATCCTCCACCTCCTCCTGTATGGGGACCACCTCATGGGTATACATCTGCTGGCTCCTTCTGATCATCGATGATTTCAGACACTGTATAATCTGCACACTTGGACTTATAAACTGGAAACTGTACTCTGAAACTATCTTGGAGGACATGTATTTATGATGCAGCATTTTCTTTCAATTTTCATTTTTTTGGCATATATATTAAAATTTGTTTCAGGTACATGGCTCCTGCCCCTCCACCGTATGACCCCTATGGTGGGTATCATCATGTCCCTCCTGTACCGATGCCTTCACCCTCACCTCTAGCAGCTCCTAGTTCATATGTGCCTGTCCAGGTGATGATGTGTTTTTCCTCAAGTTAGTTAGTTGATGGCTGTGCAATATCTATGTTATGCTCACCTATGTACAACTTATAAGACTATATAAATCCATGCTTTTTTATAAACTCCTGAATTCATCTTCATTATCCTTGCTATATTTTTTGGTGGTGTGTTTTTTTTGGAGGGTATAGCATAGAGGAAGAGTGTTACATTTAACCACATTATTTAGAGCTTGAAAGTTGCTCTAATTTTATTGGTTCTGTGAAGGTTTTTGCAGCCTGGGTTATTGCAATTCAATCTTATCTGTTTCATACCATTTTCTGTTTGGAATGCAGAATATTAAGGATAATCCTCCATGCAATACACTGTTTATCGGTAATATCGGTGAGACTATAAATGAGGAAGAGTTGAGGAGCCTGTTCAGTGCGTAAGGAGCTTGGTTCTATCATATGTCCATTCGTTTCTCGGAGATCTTAGCTTGTGTATCTCTATGCTGGCAAGAACTCTTTATTTGAATTTTCATCTTTCAGGCAACCTGGTTTCAAACAAATGAAGGTTCTGAGACAGGAAAGGCATACGGTTTGTTTTATCGAATTCGAGGTTAGTTCTATCCTCCTGTTATCTGCATGCATTGTATATGCCAGACAATGTTTTGTGGCATATTGCTATAGATTTCTCTACCAATTTGCAGGATGTCAATAGTGCGACAAATGTTCACCATACTTTGCAAGGTGCTGTTATTCCAAGTTCTGGTTCAGTTGGCATGCGGATTCAATATCCTTAAATAATTTTTATTCTTTGATATTCTTTGATTCATGATTTCTCTGCCATTTTCATATCTTTTTACGTGTTTCTTAACTCGGTGATACATATTCAAAGAATCCATTCGGGAAGAGGAAGGAAGGCAGCCATCCGTTTCCCCCATCGCCAAGTGCTAATGGAGCTCCACTGGCATTGACTTATCAGTAGCCTGAGCTCTGAAGGGGATGTACTCTGTTCTTTATATTCCAACAACTTGCACAATAGGATGCATCACACAAGCTGCAAAATGCATCCATTTCATTGCCAACATTAGCATCAGCATTTGCTTCTCATTTGGTGATGGATGCATATAGTGATGCCATCAAACATAACATGCCCTGTTTCTGTAACTTTGCTACATGCATTGCCTGTTTAATTATCTAGGAGCTCTGTTTGTCTGTCTGTTTTTTTTTATGTATGATTCCTCGCTTGACTAATATCTAGGCAGTAACTTTCACATAACACTACATAGCATTAACATGCTGGCATCTGGAGGATTTCATCCGAGCTTCATTTTCACGGCTGGTCATCATCACGAACTGTCATTATCGAATGCGGGTCATCATTCTTCAGCATTTACCCATTTCATCATAACTATGTCTTTTACTTGCGTTGATTAAGGAAAACGTCCATCTTTTTCAGTTGTCGAAGTAGACAACTGGTAACATTCTCGGTAGTTCAGGCGAAGCATATGTCCCGATTTGGACTAATGCAGGGATTGTCGTTGAGGAAAAGCTATGTGCAGGGATTCTTGTTGAGGAATTTGGCTGGAGACTGCCGACTGTTCATGGTGGTTTCTTCCTCAACTGATGTCAGGTGTTGGTTTCAGTTCCTTGTTTTTACCCAAACTCATCTGTGTTCAAATTCTGTCCAAAAGGTACACTAGAAGGCAAACATGGGCTTCTCTCCTCCTTTGAGTTTGTGGTTGGTGTTTACCCTCTTCTCTACATTTTAAGTGGTTTTTTTTTTTATTTCAATTCTCATGGGTGGTTTTTGAGGATCCGGAATTTCACCTTGTTCTAAAACAAGTACACATTATCACAGATGGGTCGCTAAGATTGGGATCTATTGAGTTTGGGCGTTGAAATTGTTGTATGACAAAAGGGCAATTGACATTGTTGCAATGCAAAAGAAAATAGTTAAAATGAAATGAATGTGTTCAACATGACCTCAATTAGAATTAGGGGTTTGCCCAAATTGTTTCTCAAACCACAAACAGTGGGTAATAACCAAGCAAGGTAACTAGGGTTTGTGCCAAGTGAATGGCCATTCCATACAAAAGCCAAGACATTGTCGGTCTCGAGCATAATAAAACACGAGCACCGTGTCTTTGGTTATTTAGATAACAGTAGCATAAGCCAAGACAAAAAACAAGGGAAGTTCTTCATGCAAATTGAGTTCTTGTCTCCCTCAACTGTCCATACAGCAATATAACATCAAACCCCCCCACTTCAATGTCAATCTGATTTTTCGGTCGTCGCGCTCGAGCGGATGGCTGTCAAGAAAACAACACAAAAAGGACGAGAAAATTGGGTCAACAGGACGACCAATGTAAGGAGGCAGACCACAAAGAAGTTTTATGGGAAGTTCCCAATGAGACATCAAATGGCCCACCTTTTCATATATAATGGAGCCTAACTGGTTCTATACGACGAGATCCATCCATACGTATAACTCGGGCATCGAAATCAACCAACCTAGCTCATTGGGTTTACTAAGAGCTATCAAAGGTAAGTAAGGTTCCTTATCATTTTCATCTTTGATTGCCCCCCAAAAAGAACTACCAAGAAGAAGCTCTAAGTTCTCTAAAATGGTGGATGATCATGTTGCACCCTCCCAAGAGAATAACCGAAGCAGCGAATGTGCATAGCCAATATCAAACATACGAACTTTAAAACAATGGAACACGCACAAAAGTTACAATACAGAGAGCAAATGAACTTGTTTCCGACATGAATTCTACTACTTGTCTTGTCCTGACCACAACACCCCTCATTCCATCACTGAGAGAGTTCATATATATAATATATGCCTTTGATTTCCCATTCATCTTTTGGATAGCATTTCAAAAGATTCTTGGCATTAAGTTCAGTTCAGAAGATTCCCACCCCTGAAAGTCAACACCTTTTGGCCAAATGCTCTAAAAAATATGCAATTCCTCATTCAATAACCCTAAGAAACCGATAGTCGATGACATACAACATCGTTTCAAGAGAAAGAACACGAATTGGAAAACCCTCGACCGAAAATGGAGAAACCCAGATCCGACAATATCCCAAACAAACACAAAAATCAAACGGATCACGAACAAATAGAAGTAAGAGAAGGGATCGAACGTACTAGGTTTCTGGGGCTTTCCCTCAGCCCACTTGGCGATGGCGAAGTGAACCTTCTCGCGATTGAGAGCTTCAGCTTTGTAGGGATCCTTGAGGCAATTCCTGACGAGACTGCCGCAGATGTTGGAGTATGTGATGTAAGTCATCCCCGCCGCTCTCCAGAACGGAACCGCCGCACTCGACGCCATCTCCGATCACCGTCTCCTGTCTCCGATAACGTCCAACTTTGAAAATTTCTGCGAAAATTCGTCGCGAGCTTTTCGAGAGAGAGAAAAAACGAAGAGCGATTTTACGACCTAACCTCACCAGCCACGTGTCAAAGTGCGACCCCCAACTCAATTCCAGGCCCATCACGGCCCAAATGGTTATAAAGAGCAAATACAAAATTTCAATTACAAGACAGATGAAAATTTTCCAACAAGAGAGCAAGTACCTTAACCAAAACTCAATACAAGAAGAACCAAAAAAAGCTGTTTTTTTTTTCCTTTCAAGATTGGAGTTTTGAACAAATAGTGATACTGCAGAATCTAACAAAGCAGTTGGCATTCGATACCCGACCCATCCCGGCTCGACCCGAGTCAATTCTACAATGTTATTTGCCGTCCCACCGGCTTCAACTGCTTGACCTTGTCAAAGCCTGTCGGAAAATAATGGCTCTTCTCTACTTCCCACGCGAGCTGCGACATTCCGTTGAACGAGGACTTTGCGCCCTTTCCGTCGGTTACTTCCCCGGGAAACGGAATCCTTACATCGTACGCTTCTCCTCCTAGAGACCATACCCGAAGATCAAACCCCAGCCTGTCCATCCATATCATTCCCGTCTTCGATACCTTCAATGCATATCACAGTTTCAGATTTTTACTACCTAACGACGGTTTATGGACAGCTTGTAATAACTGACTATATTGTCTGAAGCAGATTCTTGTTCTCTCGATCTATTATACGATAGGGCGGAGAATATCGTAACAGGGTTGAATATACTGACCTGGAAATCCAGATCGACGTATACATTGCAAAAACGGAGGATATCTTCCATGTTGTTGTCGTTTATTTCGTTAACTATGCCTTCTGCAACGCCTCGAAGCGGATCAGGGCTTGCACTTTTGTAATCTGTTGATGCAACCCAAACTCCATCCTGCAAAATAAATTTTCAGAAATGGGGTTTTAATTCGAATCAAGTATCAGCTTTTTTCGGGACATACGAGAACAAGAAGTGTAATCACCCGTAAACAATTTCATGGGGGGACAGACCAAATGCCTGGATGTCATGATGAAATCCAGCAAAAAAAAACGAAAAAAAAAAGAATCGAAAATCTACCTCCATGAAGTCTTCCATTTGAAGTACACGGTCCACTGCAACAACATACATATTGTCACCCTCAACTTCTTCACCAAACTTCTTCCTCCATGCAGAACGAAGACGCTAGAGAAAATGGAGCAAAAAACCCGACATAAGGACATAATCCAGGCATTAGGGCACTTCTATTTCCCTCATAATCTAATTCTTCCGGCTATAATAACAAAACTAAGGAATCAATCAATCAACCGATTCCCAGATGCACTTATTGCTAATGAAAGAACCATCGACACTACCACGAGCTATGGATATTAAAGTAGATACTCACTCAGAAGAAGGCAGAGAGAAAGAGTACAAAGCAGTTTCATTTTAGTACCAAGTCTAACCAGAGAACATATCGATAGCTATAGAGAGAATATGACAGTCAGTTTTACGATAAAAACGTCCAATTCTATAGTAACCATGAGATATGAATTCTCTCTTCTTACCAAAAGGTGGCATAATATGTCTATCGTCGAATCCGGTTGGATCTCAAGATCTTGAGAACATCAAATGAGCAATTCATGACACATTCGGACAATGTGGTTTCTTTACAGCGGCATCAAGAGCAGAAAAGAATAACAGATCACTTCAGAAACATGTAACAAAACAACTAAGAAGCTGCGTCCAAATCCGAACAGAATCTGAACCGGATGATCGGTGTTACTTATATAGCTAACTCCCAATATTATCAATATTGCAGCTATGGTCAATGTGATTGACTAACTATGAAGCTAGAATTCAACAAGAAAGACAGCAATAATAAGAAATTTACCTTCAGAACCTTATCATCGCCTGGCCTACCAATGCTGCCTTGTATCGTACACTGGGGAGTCCTTAATCCACATTGCTCTAACTGATCCAATAGGACAAATCCAGAGATCAAAATGGCAACATTCTCATATTCATATCAATCGTGGGTTTTAATTTTCCAGTGATAAAGTATCGGAATTCGACACTCTCAAGACAGAATCGAGTGAAGAAGAAACAACAATAACCTGAACATGAAGAGCAGACCTCTTATCGGGCGAGAATGTCCGATGCAGGCAGAGAACAGGAGTGCCGTCTTCGTCAACGGCGAAGCGAACGCCGACGGCGAGAGGCCAACCGTCGTGGGTCAACGTGGAGAGAGTTCCGACCGAAGAAAGCTCCATGATTGTCCTCGAAACCTCTGCCGATAAGGGCTTGCGATTGGAGGAGGAGAGATTACGGGTCGTCGTCGACGCCGAGTCCGACGCCGTGGAAACAGAACATCGGAGGGAAATCCGACGAGATAGGTCTCGTTTTGGGGGATCGAATCGGTTTCCCTTGGTGGGTTTCGCGAGATTCGGTAAAGGGAGGAGGTGGAGACCTAAGGATTGCGTCTGAAGCTGCATTTTGAGTCTCTGACAAGAGAAAGAAGTCTGTGTCTGGAGAGAGAAGAAGCTATCTCCTTTTCATTTTCAACGATGGATTAATTTTTTTATTTATATTTAAAAAAAATCAAACTTCTTTGTTTTTTGGTGAATAATTTGGGATTTTTGTATATAAATATATAGTTAAATAATTTATATATTTAATAAAATATGATTCTTCCCGAAATATGTATGCACCAGCTTTAATCCCCTCATTTTCGTAACCTGATATCTCTATTTATGTATGTACGTATACAAATTTATGAGGAATACACATAAATTGAAACATTATATTGTATTCATAATATTTTCCTTTTTTATGTAGATAGAGTGTATAAAAAAAATATCTTTTTTGGGGGAGTAACGTCTTTTTATATACAAGCTAATTAATAGAATGAAATTAGGAATTTCATGTAGTAGCAAGGGTATCGATGATTAGACAGAAGAATATGTAATGTATTTGTTTAACGGGTAAAATATCCAAAATAGCCTCCTTGTGACCATAATAATTGTATGATCACATGTTGGTGACATTAGTCACAACGTTAGATTTTTGATGATTTTATCAAATGATTAGTGTGATATATAAGGTGTGATCATGGTGGTTTGATGTAATCACAAAAAATTTAACGTTATGACTAATATGACCATCATGTGACCATATATGAATTTTGGTCACAAAGTCACAGTTGGAGAAGGATATGTATAAAAATAGTTTTAGTAAAAGAAGGGTATTTTGGATAATGTCCCTGTTTAACGGGACCAAAACCTTAGAAGTTAATAACCGAATAACCAAATCGATCAAAATCGGATAACAAATAATAATTATCAAATCAAATTTTGATGAAAAATTAAATGGTTATAATTTTTATAAAACCGAATATGGATCGAACCAAATAAAAAATAACCAACAAAATCGTAAATTTCATAAAAAAAAAAGTATTTTTGTTAAAATCGAACCGAATCCGAATTAAATTGAATAAAACCGAGTCTAATATAAAACCAAATGATTATAGTTTTTTAAAAAACCGAAATAACCGAACTTTAAAATAACAGGGAAAGCCAGCCATCTCCAACGCCCATCAATTGCACGCAGCAACGTTAAGAGATGTGAAGAGCCAATCAAACAAGTAAATCACAAATGGGTTATGATGATGGTCGGTCTGCCCCTTTATTAAACTTAGAACACAAGACACGACCTCAATTGGTTGGGCCAATCAACCAAAATGCATGATTGAGAGGCTGCAACATTTTAGAGCTTTTGGTTATCTTTTAATTTGAGTTTTTTTTAAAAATTCTATCATAAAATTGATTTTTGAGTAGTTTAAATTGTTTAGATTTGGGGTTATCATAAAACATTTTAGAACCTTTGGTTATCTTTTAATTTGAGTTATTTAAAAAATAATAAAATTGATTTTTGAGTAGTTTAAATTGTTTAGATTTGGGTTTATCATAAAAATACATTTTTTTAAATATCTCAATTATTTAATTTTTCAATAATTTTTTCTTTGATATTAAAATTAATTTAAAATTTTAAAAATACATGGATCTTTAAATTGAATTCAATTTAAATATAATTATGTATGATAAAATCCGATTTGATTTTTATTTATTTTATTAAAACCCAAAATTGCAATCTTGTAAGTAACCCATCAGGCAAAGTAATAGCCTATAAGCAACGACAGGCAATTTACCAACTCTTGTGAAATTGTAAGGTAAGCTACCGGTACCATGGATTTATATTATTCATATTAAAATTTGAATATGGTTTTATTCGAATATATTATATATTACCCCAATGAAATTTTTTTCCCGATAGTACGTACCCAAGTTCTAACGACCTATTAATGAAATAATATACCAAATTAAAAAATCTGGTGCCCAAAAGGGAAAAAGAAACTAGACAATCTCTCTATACATACATCAAAACGGTAATAAATAACCGACATATACAATAATAATTAATAACAACGATAAATGTAAGCATAAAACGCTAGAATAATTTTGGATATACATAAATATTTCTAATCTTGTAATTTACATATTTTGTTTTACCGTTGCCATGTAAAAAAGATTGTTAGTATATATGTCACTTTTATTTATTAATTACATTGTTTTCAAATATAAAATAGTAAATAAATCAATATGTACAGCTAAAAGGGTATGCGTAGTATACCATTTATGGTTTTATATATTTGATGCTTCTTTTTCACTAATAGTTATTAATTAACTTAGCCGTACATGAAATTAACTATTTAGGGGTAATTAATTAGTATATAATGACGTAAAAAATATTCAAACTTAATTATAAAAGTAATTACTATCTTTTACATGCCATTTGTGAACGATTCCTATCATATAATGAAATCAAATACATTATTAGCAATTAAAAGCTCAATAATTTATTTAGAAACACGTCTTTTTTACCGTTTTCTGCATTTGGAAAAAATTCATATTACTTTTAGTTGTCGGCAATTTATTTTCTTTTCCTAATAATGACAAGGTAAATAACGACCAACAGAGAAAAAAAAACAAAAATAAAGATGGTAAAAAATAAAAAATATTTTTTGACGGAAACATTATTCAAATGTGAGATTTTAAGACCCAAATAGAATACGTTATCTATAAAAAAAAAATGTTGAATCAAGAATGAAATTCTGTGCTGGACTGCTGGGAAAAGCTGTCAATTTGAGATATTCAAGTCCGGTACGGTTCAAGAATTAAACCGGTTTACTAAACCAACCGGTTAAGAGTAGAGTGAGGATCTCGATATGAACGGCAGAAGTGTCGGTGCCTGAGTAAAGATTAGATTGCTTAAGACTTCGACACTGACAGACACTTCACTACAAAAAAAAAAGGTCTTTTGGCTTTTGACAAAAAAAAAAAAAAAAAAAAAAACA